TTCATCTTATTTGCTGTTTATCTGCAAATAAAAACACAAGTATTTAACATTCAAATTCAATGCGAAATCAAATCATCTTCAGACTATCGAAACCAATTATTTTTTGCTATTCAACCAAATTACACCATTGACTAAGCTTTCTGCTGCCTCGGTTCATTTTTCTTCTGGAAGTGAACTCAAATGACAATCAATGTATGCAGGAATTTCGGAAGACTTGGCATATGTAATTTTCAACATATTTATTTTTTTACATCTACGTCCTTTTTTCCCTATAAAAGGAAGTTAGCATCATGTTTGCCTAATGACATATATTTATATTGGAAAATTGGATTTTTTCTTATTATAACGCAAATAACAAATATATGAAATTTATATCAACATAAATATCCTGCGGAGACAAAAATATTTTTTGTTTTTTTTTTATTTTCTTGTAGTTGTTGACAATATTTTATTTGTTGAATATTTAATAATAAAATTTTTGAATAAGTTTTAGTACAAAATTTAGTTCATTTGGTTATAGTTTTTAAATTAAATATATGTTAATCAAAAATTAAAACATTTGTTTATATATTTCTTTTACATAAAAAGGAGCTATCGATCTATTAACATAATGGGCCACCTAATTTTTTGTGAGTCATATATCGTATCTATACTGCTCTTAAAGCTCTTTCTTCTTGGACTTTCAAATCAAAATAGATCCTTGAGTGTTACGAGCTTCTGCAGTCACTTGCAGCTCGGAATAAGGTAAGCCTTTACTGGATTCCGGGCCACAGAGAAGTTTTGGGAAATGAAAAAGCTGGTGAGCTAGCCAGAACTGCATCAAAAACTGCTTTTATATGCCCTCAACCCTTTTGTGGAATAAACTGGGCCAGTACAAAACAGATTATCAAGGAAATGGAAAATCATATGCGGCTGGAGTACTGGGTAAAATTTCCAGGACTCAGGCAAAGCAAAGCACTGATAACAACGTACTCCTACAAAGACATTCTTAAATTCTCAAAATGTAATTTAAGGTTGATAACGGGTTTCATTACAGGTCATTATGGTCTGAAATATCACCTTCATAAACTACAATTATCTGCTAACTCGAAATGCAGATTATGTCTCGAAGATGAGGAAACGACCATGTACATTCTTTGTGACTGTCCAGCTTTAATAACGCACAGAAGAAACCTGTTTCATAAAGAATTTCTGTCACCAGAAGAGATTAAGAACTCTTCTCTAGATTTAGTTCTAGACTTTATTCACAAAGCTTTAAGAGGCTTTGTTTAATCAATAGTGAAACTGGTACAATAGGTCTCTTCTGGCCGCTGTTGGGCAATTTTCACGTCTACTCTTTTAATAATAATAATAATCGTATCTAAAAATTGCGCTATAAAAATTATATCAGATAATAACTTAAAGACAAAATAAATTTAAATATATTTTGAAAAAAGCTAAAATGAATTAGAAACTGATTAGTAAACTGTTGTATTCAGCACCTTAATTTATATTATATGTATAAATTATATATATTTTTACTGTATTCTTATATTCATAATAAATAAAATGAAATAAAATGAATTGTAACAATATTCTTTATACATAATTAATAAAACTTTTTGGTTGACCCTTCTGCTCAAAAAGTACTCGGAATTTATTTTATCTCCATCAAAATATGCTCCTTCTGAAGCGATACACATATGCCAACGCTTAACCCAATCTTTCATACATATTTCGTAGGCCCGTGAAGGTATGGCTTTTAGTTCCTTCAGTGAATTCCCTTTTACCGATTCAATCGACTCAAAACACTTACCACGAAGGGGCAATTTGAGTTTCGGGAACAGGAAAAAGTTGCACGAATCCAGATCTGGCGAATATGATGCCTGAGCGATGACAGTGGTGCCGTGTTTCGTCGAAAAATCGCGCACAACAAGTGTTTTCCATAGTAAAAATCGCTAAATGCACTTGAAGTAGTCTCACATTAACAGCTGCTGTAAACAAACTAATCGACAAATGGCGCTCAAATTTAAACCATATGTCAAGAAAGGGTGTACCAACATAACAAAAGAATAGACCTTTTGAAAAAGGTCTATTACTTAAGGAGTAGTTAACAAACAACAAAATCCGGATACTATTTGAGCAGAAGGTTCAGCTGGTCTCCAGCAAAAATTCATATAACTTACTAAGTTAACTTTATAGCAAAATTTATCCTAATGGGAAACTTAACTTTAGGACGCTATTAAACCTGACTCGTCCTGCTCCGACGAATCTTCTATAGTACATGTCTATCCGCGCTCGAAGAGGAGATGCTGAATCAACTATTGTGTCTATATCTAGGATTGGCTAAAACTAGGGTTAAGATCTCATGCACACCATTCTCTAATTCACTCGGCGATATTTTTAACATTTGTATTGGCGAGATACTTGCATTCATCAATATATCCGACTATTTTTGAAATCAAACGGGCTTTCTTAGCTTATAGTGGAAAGTTCTTTCTTCCTTCCTCTTCATCCAGCTAATGTATCTTTCATAATTGATTTTAATAT